GATTTTCAATAGAGCTAAGCAGTATGCCAAGGAGTATCAGGAGCAGGTACACATTATTGTTTTTCTTTTGCTTCTTATTTTGTGAAAATTCCTTAGCATGTTGGATTCTGATTTTTTGGCGTTTACTTTTCCTTAGGAAAAGGAGCTCATTCAATTGAAGCGGGAGGCAAAGTTGAAAGGAGGATTCTATGTCGACCCAGAAGCTAAGCTCTTGTTCATCATTCGGATTCGAGGGTGGGTGCTACTTACAACTTTATATTGTTGATGATACTGAATGATTATGTTCTGATTCTTGTGTTGTAATGATTTTATGATTACAGAATCAATGCCATGCACCCCAAGACCAGGAAGATTTTGCAGCTCCTTCGTCTAAGACAGGTAGGTTTTCAAGCTTTCCCTGAAAGTAATAGAGAAATATGGGCTCTAATCCCCCACTTGTTACTTTTCCCTGTCTTATGAAATGAGATTTTCCTTTTGATAGTTAATATGGGGTTAAGATATGTTGTTCAGAAGAACATCTGATGTGTTGAGACTTTCCAACCAATAATATCATTAGGTTCGCTTTGCTTGTTGCTGGAATTTGTGTTTAAAAGTTTTATCTGAATTGGATGGTACTCAAAGAATCTTGCAGTTGACTTGTAGTTTATTCATGTTTTCCTAGGAATATGGTTTTTAACATGATTATGGATATCATTGTAATGAAACAATTGTCATTGATGTGGAAGAAAACTATTTTTTTGCTAATGGATTTTTCTATTTTACAGATATTCAATGGTGTCTTTCTTAAAGTTAACAAGGCAACCATGAACATGCTTCACAGGGTTGAGCCTTATGTGACTTACGGGTATTTCCCATTCTCTCTAGATCCTTCTCCTTCACCCTAACAAAAAAACCACCATGCCTTATATGTTATGGTTGCATGTTTTCAGCTATCCCAATCTCAAGAGTGTAAGAGAACTGATTTACAAGAGGGGATATGGGAAGCTGGACAAGCAGAGAGTTGCATTGACTGACAATTCAATCATCGAACAGGTTTGATCTTTTTCCTACTCTACACATTTCAACTTGGTGCCAATCCTAGATTGTGAATTCTGGTTGATGTTCATGTTATTGCAGGCTCTTGGTAAGTATGGCATTATCTGCATGGAAGATCTTATCCATGAGATTATGACAGTCGGGCCTCATTTCAAGGAGGCAAACAATTTCCTATGGCCATTTAAGCTGAAGGCACCACTTGGTGGCCTTAAGAAGAAGAGGAACCATTATGTTGAAGGAGGGGATGCTGGAAACCGCGAGAATTACCTCAATGAGCTCATCAGGAGAATGAACTAAGTTCGGAGGGTGTCAGTCAAATTAGTAAATTGGGTGTTTTAAATTTTTGTTGGAAGCATTCTGATCTTATTTGTTTTGGATGTTTTTCTTCTATTTTTTGGAACTTACATGCAGTCTTCAAAGAGCTTGGATAAGGATAAATATTGTGGTTTTGCTAATTATGTTTTATTCCTTAAAAGTTCTATTCTGTGGCCATCAGGCCGACTGTGTTGCGAATTTAACATGGCAGGAGTATCTTGGAATTAAAACAATAAATTTGAAAAGTCAAGTGCTTGGTTTAAGTCAATGCATACTAACTTAAAAATCTCAACTTAAAAATTCTTGATTTGAGATTAAAGGTTAATTAACTTTTTAATTTATTAAAAAATATATTTTTTGAAATGAAAATGAAAATGATAATTATGAATATGATTTGTGATTGGATAGTTTTTATATAACTGTTAAGTAATAATTATAATATCATATAAAATTATAAATATAAAATAATGATATTGTATTAAATGAATAATGGGATATTAAATAAGTGGTTATATATATTATGAGTAGATGTATAATATAATATTTCAAGTGGACTTTGAATGAGAAAAGTTAATTATAGAATAATATATTATATTATAAATTTATAATATCAAGTAATATTGTAATTATAATATTTTTATTTTTATAACTCAAAAATAAATGAAAATGTGTGTTACTCCCTTTATTTCATATTTAGTAGACCTAATTTGCTTTTTTGACTTTTAAGACAAATTTTTTTATAAAAACTTAACAATTTGTGTAAATAATAATCGAAATTTTTTTATCAAATTAAAATATTTAATAAGAACTATATATAAAGGCAAAACAATTCAATTATGTTTATATTTGTCATTAAGTTTTTATCTAAAATTTATGTTTTAAAAATTAAAAAATCAAATTAACTTCATTAAAATTTAACAGAGGAGTAATTTTTTGTGATCCGAATCTCATGGTTTTGGTGGAGTAGGCTAGGGACAGAATTGAACATTACCTAGTCAATTAAGTGGGTTGGAATAGTGTTTGACACGAATTTTTCTGGTAATATTGAGATTTGGAAAAGAAAAACTTTTTTTTTTTTTTTTTTGGATTTAGAATGAGTGTAAGTGTGTGCTAAATCCTCCTAAAATAACTATCCGTAGTAATTTTTGAAATTAAAATTTAGAATGAAATTACTTCAATTATTGAGTATGTGAATTATTATGGGATTCTCAATGGTTATTATAAATTTGTCTTAAAATTTAGTTCTATCTATTATTATTCTTTTTAAAGTAGATATATATTTTTTATACTTAAACCCTGTTTTTTTGTTACTTTGATCTCTAAAATTGTTCCTTCTTTTTTAAAAAAAATTTTCTTGAGATTAATATATGAAAAAAATTTATTGTCCAGAAATTTTAAATCTTTAAAAGTAAAAAAAAATTATTATTTTAACACGGGGAAAGTATGTCATTAATTAATGAACCAAAACGAAGACAGAGGGAATCAAATGAAGATGGAAAAATAAGTTTAGAAAGTGTTCATGACGGCAAAAAGTTTATAAACTAAAAGGACTCAAAATTAAGAGTTGAGGGACTATTCTGTACATTTAACTTACATATTAGTAACAAAAGTGAAAAAAAGGAAGGGCATCCATGAATTTGGCAAAAACGGTTCTTGGGTTCTAGCAGAAGAGGAACAAGCTAGAAATTGCAGCGTGGAACTAGTAAATTCCCAGATCAAAATGTTGAATTTCTAGTGAATTTGAATATAATAAAATTTAAAAATTATTTGATGAATTTAAGTCTTAAGAGTGTGCACTAAAAGCAAGTTGAAAAGTCACGGTGAAAAGAAAAAAGGTCATAACTCTTCATTCAGGATTCAACTCCTAAAGAATAAAATTGCTTTAAACATTTCAACTCTCACGTGGATATTTCAATTTTCTAAGAAAATAAACTAAAAATGCTAAAAGATTGGGGAATCGACTCTTCAATGCTATATTAGATTCTATAGGCCTAAACAACATTCAATGTTTTTTTTTTTTTTTTTGTGAGGATTCAACTTTTGTCAACTTGCCAATAGCGGAATTGATTATTGGAGGTCAATGTTAGACTTTTGAGTTCTAAATTCAACTCTCAGACTACATTGAGGAAATTGTCTATGTTTTAGAATTCTTAAAAATTCCACTCTCAATATTAATGTTCGACTCATGAGGGGAAATAGATGACAAATCTTAGCCTTATTTTTGACTCTTTTGAAGAATAATACTACTATTCAAATTTGATTGATCTGTAGAGCATTTACTTCACTCACTACTAGAAAATGTGATTTATTCGAAGAGAACATTTCGGTCAAGCAAAAATTTTGACCCAAAAAAGACTTAATTTGGTTAAAAATTTTGACTGAAATATATTTTAGTCCGATTAAAAAATATTCGACACAATAATTCGGTCTAAAATTATTTCGGTCAAATATATTGACCGAAATAAAAGAGCACCAATTGGTGCTACCGTTAATTTAGTCAAGTATTTTATTCGAGTTATATTAACAATAAAATAATAAACATTTCGGTCAAAAATTTTGACCGAAATAATAGTCTCCTTTTTTTTAAAAAAAATTGTACTAATATGATGCTTTCTTTTTTAAATTTTGTTTAATTTTCCATAAAACAATTTCGGTCAAGCATTTTGACCGAAATAATTGTCTCTTTTTTTAAAAAATTCTATTGGTATGATGCTTTCTTTTTGTAAATTTTTTAAATTTTTATGATACTATTTCGGTCAAGAAACTTGACCGAAATAATTGTCTTCCTTATTTTAAAAAAAAAATTTCTATAGAAAATTATTGTGACGCTTTCTTTCCTAAATTTTTTTAATTTTCTATGATATTATTTCGGTCAAGCATATTGACCGAAATAAATCTCTCCTTTTTTTTTAATTGTATTAGCATTGCACTCTTTATCTTCTTCTTTTTTCTTTTTTTTTTTTAATTTTCTATAAAACTATTTCGGTCAAGCATCTTGACCGAAATAATTGTCTCTCTTTTCTTTTT